GTGACTGACAGCCTGCATGAAAACAAAATGGGTCACTTTCAATCAGATGTAACTTACTTTAAAAGTTTTTATTTCCTGCTTTGTAAATTGAACTTTAATTGCATACAGGATGCTACTGCATGGTCTATCAAGCTATTTACAGAGCAGGAGATAAGAAACTCTAAATTAAACAGAATTTACAATAAAGGAAGTGTAAACATTAGAGGACCTTTTACAGAAAGTGTTTAGGAAGGCTGTTTGAGTCACACGCAGGGACATCCGCCTAGGGCTGCATAAACAAAATGATTTAACTCCTAAATGTCAGAGAATTAAACAGTGAGACTGCTGGGGCATGATCGCAACATCAAAACTGATTCATTAAGATAAAATTGTTTTGTGACTATAGTGTCCCTTTAAGCTCTGCTCATTGCCAAAAAGTTCATGTTCCAGATGAGAAAAAGCAGTCTTTATGTCTTCCAAGACTGGATTAAGAGCCTATTGGGCCTGGTCCTGATGAATATGACGGGACTAATTACAGAATCTTATGAACAGAAAATACTAAAACAGTCACACTCCCCTAGTGTCTTGTATCTGGTGGAGGTGGTGCTGGAGCGAAACACATTTTCTGCATTTATAAAAATGCAAAGTTATGCACTTGGGCATAAAGAATGCACAAGCAACGTATACCCTTAATGTAAGCAAATTAGGCATAACAACACACGAAAAGGACTTGGGAATTGTTATAGACAACAAGCTAAGCAACAATGTGCAATGTCAATCAGTAGTGGCTAAGGCCAGTAAGGTATTGTCATGCTTGAAAAAGGGCATTCATTCTCGGGATGAGAATATCATTTTGCCTCTTTATAAATCACTGGTTAGACCACATATTGAATATGCTGTGCAATTTTGGGCACCTGTTCTAAAGAAGGATATTATGGTACTAGAAAAAGTGCAGAGGCGGGCTACAAAATTAATAAAAGGAATGGAACATATCAGCTATGAAGAAAGGTTAACAAATTTAAACCTCTTTAGTTTAGAAAAAACGTCACCTGAGAAGGGATATAATAACATTATACAAATATATTCGGGGCCAATACAAACCATTGTGTGGAAATCTATTCACAAACGGGACTTTACATAGGACACAAGGTCATACGTTTAGACTGGAAGAAAGAAGATTTCGTCTAAGGCAAAGGAAAGGTTTTTTTTACTGCCTGAAATTCTCTGCCTGAAGAAGTGGCTTTATCAGAGTCCATAGAGATGTTCTAACAGCAACTAGATGCATACTTGCAAAAACAGAATATTCAAGGATATAATTTTTCAATGTAGGGTAATAGCTGCTTGATCCAAGGATTAATATAACTTCCATTCTGAGGTCAAGAAGGATTTTTTTCCTAGTTTGTTGCAAGTGCTTAAAAAACACTGATTAGTTTTTTGCAGCACTGACTTGCCTTTAACTTCATTCATAAAACCGGGGCTGAACATGATCGCAGACTTGTGAATGGAGATCCCCAGGGTTTATTGAGAGCAAATGATAGGAAATGATAATCTGAGAGAGGAAATGGAGTGTTGCAGATGGTAGAGACTGTACAGTCATGAGTGAAAATAAGGTCTAGAGTATTGCCTGCTACATGGGTGGGGGAATTAGCCCACTGTGATAGCCCAAGGGAGCAGTGGCGTACACATGAACCATGGGGCCCCGGTGCGAAAATTGATCCGTGGCCCCCCCCCACCCCCGCGCGCGGGCCGGACCGCAACACATGGCGGTGGGCACCTGGTCACAGGGCTGCGACCCCTGCGACCGCGGTATGTACGCCAGTGCATGCAGATGCACACACACTTAAAGGACCACTCTAGGCACCCAGACCACTTCAGCTTAATGAAGTGGTCTGGGTGCCAGGTCCAGCTAGGGTTAACCCATTTTTTCATAAACATAGCAGTTTCAGAGAAACTGCTATGTTTATGAATGGGTTAAGCCTTCCCCTATTTCCTCTAGCGGCTGTCTCATTGACAGCCGCTAGAGGCGCTTGCGTGCTTCTTACTGTGATTTTCACAGTGAGAGCACGCCAGCGTCCATAGGAAAGCATTATGAATGCTTTCCTATGTGACCGGCTGAATGCGCGCGCAGCTCTTGCCGCGCGTGCGCATACAGCCGACGGGGAGGAGAAGAGGAGGATCGGAGGAGGAGAGCTCTCCGCCCAGAGCTGGAAAAAGGTAAGTTTTACCCCTTTTCCCCTTTCCAGAGCTGGGTGGGAGGGGGCCCCTGAGGGTGGGGGCACCCTCAGGGCACTATAGTGCCAGGAAAACGAGTATGTTTTCCTGGCACTATAGTGGTCCTTTAAAGGACCACTACAGCCACCCAGATCACATCAGCTCAATGAAGTTGTCTGGGTGTCAGGTCCCTCTAGTTTTAACCCTGCAGCTGAAAACATAGCAGTTTCAGAGAAACTGCTATGTTTTCACTGAGTTAATCCAACCTCTGATGGCTGTCACTGACAACTGAAGACACACTGAAGCGTCCATAGGAAAGCATTGAGTAATGCTTTCCCTATG